TGATATCAGACAAGGAATGAAAAGACGAAGAACAAGAACATGTACTCCATGAGTACATGACAAACTACCAAAAAGTGTCAGGATAGATGTGAGTTCCACAGGAGGAATACGTGTTAATTCTAGAGCCAAGCAGACCGCAGAGCATAGATTGCTGAACTGTGGACTCCGGCCTATTACAGCGTTCATTAGTGAGTAACATGGAAAGCCAGCATCAAGTGCAACACTCACAGTGTTCAGCAAGAAGCAAACAGCAAGAAGCACAAGCTCAGTAGTTAGCAGCACAGAACAATTTTTTTTGCTATGAAACATTTTGCTATGAAAAACAATCACAAATTATGAAAGGCAGAATAAAGGCAAAGGCAAATATCATGACAATATCATCAAACATTATGCTGAATGTTTCTTTGCTTCTTTTCTTCTCTTTCTACATTACTCCAGCAATCTGAGCTTGCAAGAACTCTCAAATTCACTGGCCAGCACTTACAGATCTTGGCACTGTTGCTATGTAGCCTGTAACAATTGCTGGCATATGCCATTTTAGTAGGAAAAAGGAAAGCATATTGTAAAAGTTTGGAATAAAACCTCTGTCTAGAGGAGAAAACATTCATTTTACTGAACCGGTTACAAACCAAGAGCAATAACTATCAAGAACTAATTATCAGTCATCTTCAGAGAAGTAGAGCGGTAATATCTCCATAAAAATAATTCAAAACTCATTCAACAACCACAGTGGAGTATTAGAAAACTAGAACGTTCAAAATAAGGGCGGGAGACTTAGCGAAAAAGTGCTTTATGATGACTGCTGAGGGACTGTTTTAAGTTTTCTATCACTTTCACTGTCTGCTGAAAATGTCCTAAAACCATCCACGTAAGAGGCTGAAAGCAAAGCCAGGAATCACAGAATCACAGAATTGTAGAGGTTGGAAGGGACCTCTAGAGATCATCAAGTCCAACCCCCCTGCCAAAGGAGGTTCCAAAGCAGAAAGTACCGAACAAGACAGTATCTGCTTTGCTCTTCACAAAGTTAAGAGCAGTTCATTCTCAGACACTGTATCTTTGCCCTTCAATATTCCTTTCTTAATCAAATCTGCTGAGATTGCAAAATATTTATTAAAGAGTTTTGTTTGATTCTTTAAATGGTAGGTGTGGGGATTTCTTGTTTGTTTTGTTTGCCTAAAAGGAAGCTTTACAGTTTGTTTGTTTTTGCTGTTGGATTCTAAAGCATTTCACATGACTGGAGAGAAATTTGCTGTCCTTATTCTGAAGCAAGATTTCCTCTTGTCTGCAACAGTCCTTCAATTTATTTTCCTGCTTTCTTACACTTACACTGAAATCAGTATAAAAGAAAGTATACCCATGTTGAATGTACCAAGTATTTCCTCGTGGACACCAATCTTCATACTGCAAATATTCCATGCTACCTGCTGGTTGAGCAAGAACATGTTTATAAAATCAGCTTTCAATATAAAATAGAGGAAGATTTACTCAAGCTTAAAGAGTGAGACATCAACTGACCACTAACAAGACTGTATTTCCTATTGAATACCAACACTCTATTACTCTCACTAATTTCTTATTAATTTTATCCGTAACCTTTTCTCCTACTTTCATCATTCATTTTGCTAAAATCAGAATGCAAATATTTAAACAAAAAAAACTAGCAAAAAATATTTAAACAAAAAAAACTAGCAAAAGTTGTTCTCAAAACTTCTCTCAGAGCGATCCAGAATGGGAATCCCACTCAATGGTCACATACCCTACTAGGCTTCAACTTGAGGTGCCTATTTGCATTACTTGATGAATGATATGGAGCCACTGCTAGTCATCTTGACTTGCTATAAATTGCAGTATGAATGCACTGATATCGAAACCCTACTAGAGAACAATCCCAGAAAACTGGAAGCTTGCCAATGTGACTCCCATCTACAAGAAGGGTTGTAAGGAACATCTGAGGAACTACAACCTGTGTGCCTGACCTCCGTGCCAGGGAAAGTTATGGAGCAGATTGTCTTGAGGGAGATCACGTGGCATGTGGGGGACAACCGGGGGATCAGGCCCAGCCAGCATGGGTTCATGAAGGGCAGGTCCTGCTTGACCAACCTGATTGCCTTCTATGATCTAATGACCCGCCTGCTAGACGACGGAAAGGCTGTTGATGTGGTCTGTCTAGACTTCAGCAAGGCCTTAGACACTGTCTCCACAGCATTCTCCTGCAGAAGCTGGCAGCCCATGGCTTGGACAGGTGCACTCTTGGCTGGATAAAGAACTGGCTGGAAGGCCGGGCCCAGAGAGGGGTGGTGAACGGAGCTGAATCCAGCTGGCGACTGGTCACGAGTGGTGTTCCCCAGGGTTGGTGCTGGGGCCTGTCCTCTTCAATATCTTTATTGACGACCTGCATGAGGGCACTGAGGGCACCCTCAGTAAGTTTGTGGACAACACCAAGTTGGCTGGAAGTGTCAATCTGCCTGGGGGTAGCGAGGCCCTACAGAGGGATCTGGACAGGCTGGATGGCTGGGCTGAAGCCAATGGGATGAGTTTCAACAAGGCCAAATGCCGGGTCCTGCACTTTGGCTGCAACAACCCCAGGCAATGCTATGGGCTTGGGGAGGAGTGGCTGGAAGACTGCGTAGAGGAAATGGACCTGGGGGTATTGACTGATGCTTGGCTGAACATGAGCCAGCACTGCGCCCATGTGGCCAAGATGGCCAATGGCCTCCTGGCTTGCATCAGAAACGGTGTTGCCAGCAGGAACAGGGCAGGATTGTCCCCCTGTACTCAGCTCTGGTGAAGCTGCACCTCGAGTGCTGTGTCCAGTTTTGGGCCCCTCACTGCAAGAAAGACATTGAGGCCCTGCAGCGGGTTCAAAGAAGGGCAGCAAAGCTGGTGAGGGGTCTGGAGCACAGGGCTGATGAGGAGAGGCTGAAGGAGCTGGGGTTGTTCAGTGTGGAAAAGAGAAGGCTCAGGGGAGACCTCATTGCTCTCTATAACTACATGAAGGGAGTTGTAGCGAGCTGGGGGTTGGCCTTTTCTCTTGTGTAACCAGTGATAGGACTAGAAGGAATGGCTTCAAGCTGCGCCAGGGGAGATTCAGGCTGGACATTAGGAAATACTGCTTTTCTGAAAGAGTGGCCAGGCAGTGGAATGGGCTGCCCAGGGAGGTGGTGGAGTCACCAACCCTGGAGGTGTTCAAGGAATGTTTAGATTTTATGATGAGGGATATGGGTTAGTGAGAACTATTGGTGATAGGTGGGTGGTTGGACTGAATGATCCTGTAGGTCTTTTCCAACCTTGGTAATTCTGTGATTATTTCATAAATAAGAATTTTATAATACACACTAGAAAAATAATAGGGAAAAACCTGTTAACTTTGCTGGCTCTAATCTCAGTCTCCAATAAACTGCAAGCTGTGTCTGTTTGTGCAGGGCAAACTTGTTCACAACCCCAGGAATACAAAGTTAAAAAATAGCTGGTTTTCCAGCAAGAAAGACGATCACAGAATTAAGCAAAACAAATTCTTTTGGTAAGTAAGGGGAGAGAAATCAATTCTAAATTTAAGAGGCAGAGGCTACAGCCAGTAGACAGGAGATCTGGAAGATCAACCTCAGAATCCTGGAAGACACACCTTCAGTGTTTCTAACTACTTCATAGAATCATGATGTGAGACTCACATCTTCATAGAATAACAGAATCATTGGAGTTGTAAAGAGGCCATTAAAGGTCATCCATGCCAACTCCCCTGCAATAAGCAGGGCCACCTACAGCTAAAGCAGAGTGCTCAGAGCCCCATCCAGACTGACGTTTAATCTTTCCAGGGATGGGGAGATCATCACCTCTAGGCAAACTGTTCCAGTGCCTCACTACCCTTACTGTAAATAATTCTTCCTTGTACCCAAACTAAGTCTTCCACCTTTTAGTTTGAAACCGTTTCCCTTTCTCCTATCACAGCAGACTCTGCTTCAGCCCGTCTCCATCTTTCTCACAGTCCCCATTTCAGATACTGAAAGGCGGCCCTCAGACTCCCTGGAGCCTTCTCCAGGTTGAACAGCCTCAGCTTTCTCTCCATTCCATATACACTTTCGTCTTAGCTAGATACTGCAGAAAAAAATATCTACTTGTCACAAACACTTGCCATTATTGCCACAGCTATCAGAGATGTAGATACAGAAAAAAGACTGCTAGCTGACATCTGGATGACTAAAGCATATTTGTGATATAGTATCTACCTTAATACAGTTGCCTGTCCTCTACCATCATACAGGAGTAATAGCTAGTAAATTGTAACTTTGAGAATATAAATTCTTGTTCATTTAATGTTACTATTCAACTACAACAGAAGTAAAAACTTACAAAAAGAACAAAACAATTTTATTTGATGGATTTTAAATCACAGCTCAGACAAAAAAATCAAGAGTTTTCAGTAGCAATAGTAAAGAGCAATTTATTAAAATGGAAATCTGTAAAACTTCATGTATCAAAACTAAGGCCGCAGTTAGTGCTAACATAAAGCCAACTTCAAAACGTTCTTATAATAGGATTTAATTTAGAAATATTATACAAAGCTATTATACAAATGAGCTCTAAAATACTCTGAAATGTAGTATTACCTCTACCAACATGACCACTTATTCTAGTGATGAGATTTAATGACATAAAGTTCCGAAGCAACAGTACATAAAACTTGTGTTTATTCTGGACCTCTGAGGAAAGTAATTTTCTATTGGACTCTATCAACAGAAACAAACTACAAAATACTCTACTGCCAGATGCCAACGATGTTTCCCTTTTGTGATAAATACATTTCTTCTCTTCCAATGTTAAATATCTCCAGTCATAATAGCAATGAACTCCTCTAGATTGACTGTAAAGGAAAAGACAATTATTAGACAAACAGCAAATACCATCAACCATAAGAGAACATAACATACATATGCATACTGCACTCTTAAATTGAGGGTTTCCAACTTTGTATTTATTGGGTGTGACAGACATTCAAATTTGGATTATTTTTTTTTTGCTTCTAGAACAGAATTTTTTTTTTCTTTTTAATGTGAAATGAAGTCAGAATGCAATCTTAACTACATGTGATTCTTAAGACAGAATTTGACTCATAAATAAAAAAATATTATTTCTAATTCTGAAAGTAAAAATATTTTAGAAATTAAAAATAAAAATTAGGAAAGTACCTTAAAATACAACTAAGAAAAACTACACCACTTTCTTTCCATTTTTAACATCTTTATATGCTAAAACCATAACAATATATATAGTACATGCTTCTCAAACAACAAAGCTGCAGTTCCACTTATGGTCAAATTCTACTTTATTCTTCAAAGAATAATTCAGACCTTTTTGTTCTGCGTTCCCATCTTCCCCCCAAAAAAGCAAAAATGACAAAATAGCTCAAAAAAGCACACATTCACACCATAGTTTTCCTCTCCCAAATCTGTAACAGTGAACAAATAAAAAATGAATTTCATGATTCTACAAATTAGCTTGAATTAAGACAGACTTTTGACAAGTTTTTCTCCCACCTGAACTTTCTTCATTCTACAGTTATAATTAACAGAAACTTAACACAAATGTACTTGAAGAAATTAAGTAATAGTAATAATTAGCAGTCATTAATTATTTTACTGCACTTACACCTGAGCTATTGACCTTACTCATATGTTAAAACAGAGACACTGTAAAAGAGCTAACCAATGAACATGTTCACTCTGCAGCTAATTACCGTAGTGCGGAATGAACAGATTAAGCCAGTGATATGCAAAAGAACAGACACATATGACAAACTGTCCTTGACAATTATGTGCCCCAAACAGTGTGCCCAAGTTAATCCTGAACATACCATTGCAAAGCAGAAGTTACATCTACAGCCAGAGGAAAGCTAAACCAGTTCATGTTAAAAGTATTTTAAAAAATAAATTCAAATCTGCCATCTTGCAACACATTTAAAAACAACAGGAAACAATCTATTTTAGGACTATAAACTCTAAAATGTCAGTCAATCAAATAGCTACACCATGTTGCATTACACAGAAGCACCGTGTTTTCTGCATGACTTAAAAGGCATTATCATGGTTTTATTTCACTAGTATTACCAAGTAAATCCATGTATTTCTATATTTGTTGAATTTTTCATGTTTTGATTTCAGATAATTACAACTTCCTGTAAATTTTCCCTTATGTACTAACATGTCTTTTCCACTTTAATTATTCTTCAGTTTATCATTGTTCATATAATGTAGTGGCTAACAATAACTAAAAGAAAAAATAAATAAAAAAATAGAAGATTAGTAGTAAAAAGATAGATGTTGAAAAGTTGTAAAATTCCTGAGAAACAGTTCTAGCAACTTAAAATGGAAACACGTTTGGAATACTGGCCAAAATAAATAAAAATAGGGATAAGAAGTCAGATGGATGATTACAGAAAATATACTGGAAACTTCTGTGCATTAATACTTATCTGTTTGATTCTGCAAAGTGAAGGTTGAAGAGTGCAATGGGGAAAAAAAACTCAACAGATTTCAGAAAGTAAAACAGATGGGTTTGGCCTATTATGGCTCTATTTTAATGCTTTACTCTCAAGGGTTGTTCAATTAGTGGTCAGTTACTACAAAAGTATGATGCTCATTTTCCAGAGTTTGGAAATTAAGGCTTTACTGCATATAAAATAATAGCTGTTTGATTTAGTTATATTGCTCAACAAGCATAATGTTGCAACCTATTTTCACTCATTCAGGTTATAAAATTGTTTTAAGCTACACGTAAAAGTGTAACTGGAAAGAGAATACATCTCAAAGTCTATGACTAGTTTTCAAAGATAGTTACAGATTATTTTACTTACAATAATTACTATTTGCATGTTTACTTGAAGAGCAATAGTCTCTGTGTATATGACCTTTGCCAGTAGCAGTTATCTGCAGGATATATGTGGAGTCCAAAGTAGCTTTTCAGTAAGCCGCATTAAACACAAATTCAGAGAGGAAACTCAATCAGTGCTGCTGTAAGAAAAGAAATTAAGATGGAGCCACACACATATCCAGCAAGACAAGTGACCACTTGAGCTTCGTCCTAAAACATCACAATCAAGGTATGATTGAAATTGTCTTCTGAAGGTATGAGGATTTTAAAGGTGAAAGCAACACTTTCCTTAGACATCAATACTGCTTTCATTTTATGACACACAACTAAAATTAAAACCAGAATCGAAGTTTCAAGTGGTTTGATTCATGAACGAAACAGAGATATCTAAAAAGGACACAGGGATTGCTTCTTCTTTCCCTCCCATTAATAATGCATGTAATTAGTGTTTAAAAATAAGCTGAAACATAAAAATACTGTTAACTCTTTTTGCATGTACATGGCATAAAAACACTACAGTAGGAAAGGATATTTCCGCTTTATGCCATTGTGTACGGACACAACTTCATATGTGCTATGGTCTGACTTACTAAATTCAATAAATTAGTGATATAAAGCTGCTGATAATGTGAAGCCATTGCCTACTCTCAAAGCAGCAAAACATTGGTGAAAAGGGACAATTTGTTAACTTGGACTACCTTCCTTTATTTTACACCTGTTCTCTTCTACTGTTGTTTTTGAAAGTTATTCTCTAGTCTTAAGTGGATCTTACTTAAGGCTCTGAATTTAATGGCTTGAGCATACCTAGAGGAAATGCAAACTAAATAAATGTGCATCTTCGTTGGCATTCAAAGAGGAATAAGTTCAGAATGTCTTCTAATTCAACAAGTCATTTCAGTAAATGTACCAAAACTATTAAAAGATGACTAATGCATTAATCCATGTTGATAAATTAATTACACTTATAAACTTCAAATACTGTTAGAGTTACTGAACAGTAATCCAAAACTCATGTCCCAATCCTTTCTCAAAGCAGGGTAGATAAATCCTGTTGTTCAGGCCTTTGCCTCATTAAGCTGTAAAACGTCTCCAAGGTTGCTATGCTTACCCACCCTCATGGTCTGAAAAAATCACAGCTTTCTTTCACCTTCTCAGAAACCAGAGAACCCTTAAGTGACTTTTTTTTTTTTTTTTTTTAAACAACTTTTCCCCCTAAACAATCAAGTTGAGACCACTGCCCGGGACATATAGTATCCCCATCAGCCAAATGATTACTGAGCATGATACAAATGTTCTCCTTTGAAGGCAAGTCTGCAGTCACATCAGCAGTTCAGCCTGACAGTCCAATATGAAGAACCAAATGAATTTCAAAGTAGTTTACTTCTCTGTTACTGCTTCAGGACATCACCAACCAGAGGGCAAGTTTCAGACACAGAATAGGAGATGAGGCAAAAGTAGGAACTACACATTACATTATTTTCACCTTTTCAGCAAGAAGTCTGCAAGAAGGACATTAAGTAATAAAGAAAAAAATACCAAAATAGAAGACCAATGTATTTTCTTATATATACAAATGGAAGTAGTGGATTATAATTTTAACCATAACACATGGATTTGAAAATATTCTTCCACAGTTATCAAACAGGCCTGCTATTCAGAGTATATGCTTGTCTCTCTGGGTGGATGATCAGCTTGATTTACTGTAACTGAGGATACTTCATCAAAGAGCTGCAATTGTTCAGACCCAAGGTGTCATCAAGTAGAATGACTGATATTCACACTCTTTACCACTTGGTTGTATTTTCACCTCACAAAGGCAAAAATCTACTGTTTTGGAATTGATTGTTTCTGCCACCAGTTTAGGGGGACACTGTTAAGAGAGTGGTTAACAACTAAAATAGAAATAGGAAACATTTCCACAATGAACTGAGGGTGCTGTTTTTTTCCTGCTACAATTACAAGATGTTGGATAAGTAAGTTGGAGTCTTTAATGTGCTGCCCAGTGGGTGTGTGGACTACTGAAAAATACAGAAGAAAAATAAAAAAACATCAAAAAGAAGTTATGTTTTCTCTGCTAAAGAACAGTGCTGAGACTAGCTGTGCTACCTGTGTAACAAGAAACAAAGTAAATAAATAAAGGCAAAAAACTAGGTAAAAAAACTCATACTAATCCACCTTCTTCTGACAAAATTTCTACCCAACTCCTTCTCATCATAATTTCTAAAGACTATTCCAGAAGTATTACATAGTCAGTTTCAATACTACATGCACATTAAATCCAGAAGCCAAAGAAATTTTCGAAGAGCTACAAATGCAAACATCCTCAGTGAAACATTTCCTGACCCAAAACACACCTGTTCCATAATGCTGCAAAGTGGAAATACAATATTACAGTGGTAAACAAATTTGGCAACATTCAAAGTGCAAAGAGAGATGTGACAACAAATCCCAGCAATCCAAGTCATCCTCCTCAGACTCCACACCTCTGACAAGCCACCTAATGAGCAGGTGCCAGGGCAACAACCACTGCCCTTCCTAGTGTCAGACATCCATTATTTTTGTGACATATATCATCATAAAGTAAGTATTCTTACAGCTAAAATGAATAAAACATTGACTTGGGAGAGTTAAGAAACTCTCCAGGAGTTAACAAGAGAGTAAAGTTAATTTAGTGGAGCTTTCCCTCCAACCCTAATTCTTTGCAAGAACATAAAACTGAAACGGGATTATGTTTACTGTAGATGCATCCACGCAAGACAAAAAGGTGAATGAATTGACAGCATGGAATTTCTAAAAATAGTCATACACCAAAACAGATGTTACTTAGAAGATCAGCAGTATGAAAATCTGATGATTTACCTTCTTAAGGCAGATGCTAATGTCAAAAACAGTTTTACAGAAAGTTCAGAAAAGTCTATCAGTACAGCACAGTAGTTCCACTCGTAAGACTAGGGTTCAAGTAGCCTGACGTACTGTGTTACAGACTTTATTTCACTAGGAAAAAAAAAATAAATCTTTCAAATATAGTAAGAATGTTTACGTGGTATTAATTCCTATATTTTAAGTATTAGTTAAAAATACTACCAATTCATACTTAAAGATTTTTTCCCCTAGGCAGGAAATAAAGGAGAATTAGATGAGAGGTAGTCTTTGTTACATGACCGAGATGTTTGAAACTGGATGGAACACTGATTCAGAAGATTATTTACTTTTTGAGACTGAATCTTAAGAGCTAGAAACAGTATCAGTTTTCTTTAAAGGACAGAAAACGGAACCATAAGGAAACAACAGCACTACATATAAACATTATGCTGCCAATCTTCCACATTCAATCTTGTTCCAGACTACTCTAAAAAAGAAAGTTAATGGATGAATAAGGAAAATGAACTAAGCTACCTCATAAATTTAGTGCTGATCCCAAAATAACTATAATCTTCCTGAAAGGAGCTAGAGGTTTACAATGATTTCTACTGGCCAAACAGCATATGTAATATGACCAAATATGACCAAAACCATCCCTGATTATCATTCTGACAGTTGAGTTGCCAGCTCTAGAAGAACAAAAGACAAAACATGCTTATGGCTGACATATTCCACTTGCTCTCACCTCTGTAGCTACACTTTCAAATAAAAGTAAAATGAGTCTTTAATACAAATAAGTAATACAGGCAATGCAATCACAACCACTCCTTTCAAAAGCCAAAAAAGCTTAAAATAATGTCTACTCAGACTATTATACTCTTTGCTGTACAGCTACTAAAGTGGATACCAATGCAATAGATGTGTGGAAGGATGTGTCTGACAAATAGAGGAACACCAGAATTATGCAGGAAATATGGCAGGAAATAAAAGCGAGATCAGGAGGTAGCATCTTTCAAACAAAAGTCTTCTCACCAGTGCACTGACTTTTGTAAAAACAGTGTCAACATTAACAGTCTAGTAGCAATAAAAGCACAGAGCTTTTACTATTTTTGCCTTTATGCTCCCTATTTATGTCACTAAAATGAAACAAAATGTTTGCATTTTAACTGCACTGACTACGCTCAGAAGTTCTGCTTTCAGTCTCAGGAAAAAAAGGAGCTTTTTTTTTTTTCTTTTTTTTTTCTCCCCCAATATTTGAGTAACTGCAAACAAGAACAGGCCAACAATTAACAAGCTTGCAGTTGTATGTCAAGTGTGAAGTAACATCTATCACAGGCAACAAAAGTATCTGTCACAAGGCTGAAAAAAAGGCAGGTGTTGTGGGTTTTGTTTTTTTTTCTCTAGCAGTAGATGTTGCTGACAAATAAAAATGTTTTGCTACTGAAAAAGTTGATAGTCCTGAAGTCTCAGTTCTGTAATCTCAGATGAGAGTAATCATTCTGAAAGAAAAACTCACATAGATTTCTATGACTCAGAAATGCAGAGTATATGCAGATTATCTTAAGTGCTCCTGAAGCTCCTTAAGCTCCTGAAATCCAGGTATTTAGGCTTCCAGCTTAAATATAGATTTAAATTAATGGGGGAAATAAAGAAGAGAGTTGAAAAACAAATAAACAACAACTCTAAGTTGCAGTGCTTAATAAGCATAGTTTCAAACAGGCTTTGTTACTTAATTCTTTGTCTAGCTAATAAAGCTCTTCTATAACTCACACTGTATGGATCTTGTTTCCTCAGAGCATTTTTCACACCACGTTCTTCAGCTCTCCTAAGTACAGATGCACATTGGAGTCTTATCCAATTTAATAGCATAACTCTTTGTATCTGACTAACAAGCTGAAATCACAATAGTGACACACTGCTGCTTAAGAAATATTGAACTAGGTGATCAAAAGAGCTTCTTCTGGTCTTTTAATCCTCTTATTGATACATACAGACATCAAAGTTTAATGTAGTACACAGACTCTTCCATGAACCACTTAATTATTTACACTTCTACCAGAACTTGAACCAAACCTTTAATAGGTATGGCTTGATTAAGCCTTAGTGAAGGTGAGAAATCAATTTGATTTTAGACTCCACTATACATTTTCAGGACTAATATCTATCAAAAACTACTTTTGTTACACATAAGCTAAATTTGAGCTGAAAGATAGATAGAAAGAAAACAGAGAACACTTGTAAATGTTAGGTATTTTCCAGATAAAGCTACATTGAAATACAGAGAAAATTCAGAGATAGAAATCCCATATAGTCCATTCTTAATACTTACTTTCTCCATCTCCATCCTTATCAAATTCTTCAATCATAGCCCGCAGTTCTTCATCAGACATGTTTTCACCCAGTTCTCTAGCAACTCGACGCAGGTTTCTCAGGCTTATTTTACCAGAGTCATCATCATCAAACAATCTGAATGCCTTGAGTATTTCTTCTTGTGGATCTCTGTCCAATATCCAGTCTGTCACTGTAAGGATTCTGAAGTTAGACTAAAAAATTCTGACGAGTAAACTCAGAATGACAGACTGAAAAAATGTGTATTCCAGATTTCATCTGTTCTTTCATTTTTAACCTATTTCAAGTCACAATATGCATGCATACTTGGTTGGCTGCTATCTGGTCTTTCTTTCTCTACTCCCTTTTCAAAGCTGAGTTATTCTTCGCCATTTGTCAGGTACAGTGGAAAAGCTACATGGCAATTTAGACTCAATCATGCTTTCAATAGACTTTTCTATACAAACTGGAAGTATACACGTCTTTTCTATTCGAAAAATGCATTTCAGAAAAAAATACATCAGCTCTAACAGATCTAGGATCTTGAATTTGTTGATTTTAAGTGTTATGATCTGGATAGAATTTTGACTTGCTGACAACACAGAAAGAAACAACATTAAGTAATTAAAAACAATCAGGGGGGAGGAACTTCTCTTTTAGACACAAAATCGCACTGACAAAAAAAACAAAACCAAAGCCTGAGGTTTATGAAAATGACGCTACTATATGCTGCAAAATGTTAATTCTGAAAGGATTTGTTACTCTCGGTTAGTCCTTTCATTGCACCCATTTGTTGCTTAGTAGTTGCTTAAAAGACAGCCAAGCTACAAAAATATTTTTTCAGTAATTAATTCAGACACTTCTGGAATCAGATGCAAATATCTTTATATCTATATACCTGCTCATATTACATGACATGGTATTTAAGACTTTTATCAAACCATTAAAAACACATCATACTTGTTTGTGCGAAGATAAACACTTTTCATCTGCTACTGTTTGCAGATGGAATGCCTCCTTCAGCTTAGTGAACTTGAAAGCAAAATACCAGATCCAAGCTCATGCAATTTCACTATAGCAATAAGGATTTTTTTTGTTTTCATATTTATATAAATTTATGTGTTTTATATATAATGTAGACTGAAGTATATACAAAAAAAATGACTCATACTTAAATATTTTCATTGAAAACAACTATGATGTATTACAGTAGTAAATCACTTGAGAAACTCTACTTTTATGGAAGAAAGGCCATAAAAGGCAATGAGAGCAACATCAGCTAACAAAAAAGCACTGCCTCTAAGTACCATAGTTAAAATGATTGTACAAAACAAGAGGGGATACGACTATACACATTTTAGATGGTCAGTTCTGACATTTAAACCACAGATAATCACACAAAACTATTGGCTAAGCAATTGTTTAACTACATTCAGCCAACTCATGATAACAGTTTCCATAACTTATTTTCTCTAACTCTCTAATACTTCTGCTACAATTCTATAAGGACATATTTGTCACACCCACGCTCAGACCTGATTCAGAGTTTTTGGATTGATTCAGTTGCTCTCTCACTATTAGTTGTGCTACACGAATCTTTCTAGATCCTCACAGCATTTGCTGACTGTCTATATTGATAACTAGAACAAAAAAAGCTGAGTTGGGACACTGAACATCAGAAGGGTGAAACCTTGGGCTGTTTTAGGAATTATTGGAGGAATCCCCTGGGAAATGTCCTTAGGGACAACAGAACGGAGAGGAGATGGAAGATCTTCAGAGACATCTTTCTGAGATGGGGTCTCCATCCCCCAGCATAAGAAATCAAGCAGAGGAGGTAGGAAATCAACATGGCTGAGCAAATACTTACTTGCTGGTCAAACTCAGGGGTAAGATGGAAATGTACAGGCAGTGGAAGTAGGGATGGATGGCCTGGGAAGAATGAAGGAATGCAGTCCAGACATAGGAAAATAAGATCAGGAAAGCCAAGGCTTTCAGATGGAACTGAACTTGGAAAAGGATGTGCAAAATAACAAAAAAGAATCTTTAGATACATTGGTCAGAAGAGAAAGGCCAAGGAGGGCATACCCCCTCTGATAAATGAAAAGGAAGAACTGGCTTCAGCAGACATGAAGAAGGCTGAAGTACTCAGTGAGTTCTTTTGCCTCAATTTTCATTGACAGTCAGGCTTCTCAAACCTCTCATGCTCCTGAATCTCTAAGCAGGTGTCAGAAGAACAAAATCTGTCCCTGCTGGCAGAGCAGAGCAAGTCTAAGACCACATTGTGAGGCAGAATGAGTACATGACTATGGGGCAGAACAAGATTCATCCAAGGGCACTGAAGAAACTGGCTGATGTAGTTGCCAAGCCACTCTTAATCAGATACGAAAAGTTGTGGCTGCCAGGTGAAGACCTTCGTGACTGGAAAAAATAGAAACATCACTCTCACTTTTAAGAAAGGGAGAAAGGAAGACCCAAGGAACAACAGACTGGTGAGCCTCACCTCTGTGCTTAGAAAGATCATGGAAACTTCTGGAAGAGATGTTAGGGCACATGAGAGTCAAAGAGGTGATCTAAGATAGCCAGCACTGCTTAACCAAGGGCAGACTGTGCCTGACCAATCTGGCACCCTCCTATGATGGAGTGACAGCATTGGTGAACAAAGGCAAAGAAAACTAATATTGTCTGCTTGGACTTCTGTAAGGCCTTTGATAAGATTCCACATCATATTCTTATCTCTAAATTGGAAAAATATGGATATGAAGGGTGCATACAGAATTGATTGGGTGGTTGCAGCCAGAGGTTTGTGGTCAGTATTTCTATGTCCAAGTGGAGACTGGTAAAAAGCAGTATTCCTCAGGGATCTTCCACGATACCAGAGCTCTTAACATCTTTATCAATTATACAGATAGTAGGATCAAGTATACATTCAGCAATTTTGCAGATGACACCAAGCTGAGTGGTACAGTTGACACAAGAGAAGGAAGAGATGCCATCCAGAGGGACCTGTACACAATTGAAGAGCAGTTCCACATGAGACTCAGTAAGGTAAAGAGCAAGGTGTTACACCTGAGTCAGGGTATTCCAAGATACCTGCACAGACTCAGAGCTCATTAAGAGCAGCCCTGCCAAGAGGGACTTCAAGATCCTGGTGGACAAAATGCTGGATACAGGCCAACAGCATGTACTTGCAGCCTGAAAAGCTGACTGCATCCTGGGCTGCAACAAGAGGAGCAGGCAGCAGGGAAAGGGAGGTGACTGTCATCCTCTATTCTGCTCTTCTAAGGTCCCATGCGGAGTAATGCACCCAGGCCTAGGGCCCCCAGCAAAAGAAAGGTGCGGAGCGGTTCGAGCAGGTCTGAAGAGGGCTGCAAAAATGACCAAAGGGCTGGAATACCTCTTTCATGAAGGAAGCTTGAGGGAGCTGAGCTTGTTCAACTTGGACAAGAAAAGACCTCACTGCAGCCTTCCAGTACTTGAGTAGAGCTTATAAGCTTGAGGGGGACTGACTTTTTATACAGTCTGACAGTAATAGGACAAACGGAAACGATTTTAAACTAAGAGAGGGAAAATTGAGGTTACATGTTAGGAAGAAATTCTTTACTGAGAGGGTGATGAGGCTCAGAGAAGCTCTGGAAGCCCCATGCTTGGAGGTGTTCAAGGCCAGTTTGGATGGGGACCTGGGCAGCCTGATCTTTTGGCAGGCACCCCTGCCCACAGCAGGGAATTGGAACTAGATGACCTTTAAGGTTCCTTCCTACCTAAGTTAAACATCAGGAATTTAAAAAGATCTGCGCAGTAATCATACTATATTTCATCATGTTATAGCATAATAAAATGATACATTATATTAAATCAATAAATTTTCTTCTTTCATTTTTTCTTTTTAAATAAGGATTGATAATTTTATTCCCCCCTAGACTTCTTCAATTCTCTCCTAACTCATATTTCTTCTAGCTTGAATAAGAACTAAGAAAAAAAAATTACCCATCATTAACAACATATTTTCCTCATTCCTAACCTGTTAAGTTTCTAAATTTTGCCAAAATTTAAACCAATAAAGGATTCACCGTTACTGAGCAGATTGTTATTTATAGCTAGAAGCAAACATACACATTACATTGCTTTTTTCAGAAACATTAGATAACTTAATACTTCGAACAAGGGAATTGTGAAATAGATATGAAATCATAACATACATGGAGGTTACTCAGTTTATATTTTTAGCAAATACTAATTGTATGCAAAAGTAAAAATAATGTGTGACAATCAGAAAAATCCTCAAAGACACTAAATTCCTGTTTTTTAAAACTGTATAGATTGCTCCACATTTAGAGAATGTAGAAGTCTGTAAGATACAAAATCTTTACACGAAAGAAACAGTTAATGAAATTGACCGCTTTTATCAGCAGTTGAAAATCCTTGATGTACAATATTTAACATCTGCTTCAGTTCCTCTCACCTTTGTTAGATTACAGAAAAATCTGTATTCAGTTTACAGTTTGTCAGTCTATACACTCATTCCTATGAAATTCAGTGCCAACTACTTTTACCACAGCAGGAAGGAGAATACTAAAAAAAAAAAATATATATAAACATATGAATATCTATATTTCAAATTAGTGCTTATTGCTTTGTAGAAATTAGTTTCCTTTTATATTGCTGTGATCTTTCATCTCTATGGATACACCAAGAATTATTTTCTTCTACTATGTAAGTTTATAAAGAAAAATATAACATTGAATCTCCAGTCTCTCCTTCTTAATAGTACTAGGGAACTACAAAAACACACAAAGTACTCCTGGTCAAACTACAATCACTACTGTAAGCTAAGTTTCTCTGAAAGTAGATTTCTAAAGGTATAAAATCAAATACATACCAACTTCATTAAAATCTTCAAAGGTGATCTTGCCTGTGGCTTCTCGATCATAATCTTTAAGTATTTTCAGTACATCAGCTTTTTTCACATCAAAACCCAAGGCTCTCATTGCCACCTTTTGGAATAAAAAGAAAGCGCAATCAAATACTAACACAAAATAGAGATTTAAGAGAGATTTTTTTCTTGTTTTTAATAAGAACATTACTGCCTAAGACAGAGTGTGCACACCAGTGGGACTCAAGAACAATAAATAAAATTAAAATACCAAAAATGCTTTGTATAAAAAAATAATGAAATCACCCAAAACAGCACTAATAAATAGAATATCAAATTACAGTGAAAAAATAGCCTTCAGGTTTCCAATAATTTTAAAGAGTGCATCATATGCTTTTTAGAAGTAGATTTTTTTTTCTAACTTTCGAAGACATTCAGAGTACTGTCTCTTTTTCAAAGATCAAATTGAAAATCATTCTTTAAATCACTCACAGTAAACATTTGACAAGTTATCTTTCAAGTGATTTAATTTATCACTTTTCCACTTGAAACTATGCAACTACATAAATGTGTAAGTTATTCCATTTTTTCATTAGATCAGGAGTTGATGCTTAGTTTCCACATTTCAACAGAGATGGCAGTTTTTCAGCACATGCTACTTTGAGCTTACATTAAACTACAAATAAAAAGCCCCACTCCTATACAACATAGCCATTTCATATCTACCCTACGGGTTGGTGTTGCAAAAGGAGATATTTCTTTACTGTATACATCTCAGTTCTTCCATTGTGTTACCTTCAGGGCCATATTTAACTAAACTGATAATAAACAACTTTCAAACAAACAAATCATGACAGCTGAGGATACAAAGCACACCCTGACTGGAAAAGCTGTATGAATAGTCTACAGTAGTTCCCCCTCTCATTACAGCTTCCAGCAGAGGCAAAATACCCAAAATCTAAAAAAGAAGAGGGAATCACTATAATCAACAACATTCCTCTACACATAATTAAAGTACAACAAATGCCATTTTTCTTCTTTAATTACAGGACAGAATAAGATTGTGGAACAAACTGGATTACATATTCCTTTCCAAAAGTATCTTACTCAATACATTAAAGGAATGCTGACCTCTCTATAAGACAGTATTTGCCCTTGATGAAGCTTATTCACCTGCCTAAGTCAAACTCTAGGGAGCAGCAGGACCTGTTATACAATATGCTACAGCAACTCTGTTACTGCGGCAACTATATGACATAGTGGCAAAAGCTGAGTTTTACTTCAAGGCACATCAGCAATTTTTCAAATATCCCCACTTCAGCCTTCCAGGACATCCTGACCATGAAGCATTTTTAAAGATAAAGTCAATGACTTAAAAACTCAGTTAAATGCATATTACCTGCCCTAAAGAAATTTAAATGATGAATAAATAAAAATACCTTCAACTCATGGTAATTTATTGCTCTATCTTTGTCTGTATCAAACAATTCAAAGGCATCTTTAATTTCTTGCTTCTGTTCCTCAGTCAGTTCTCTTCTCTTCTTTTTAGTTTTGTCTACTGAAAGCTCATTCCTACATGACAGGAGGGAAATTCAATACAACTGATTAATACTGGAAAGATACCACTGTAGATTACATTTTCCCACCAATAAGAAACTCATTATAATTGCACAGTTCATTGTCATCCCCATTCAGCTTCTTCCCAACTTGATCTTCCAGATTGAAGTAATACTTGAAGCAGACAATTCCTTTGCACAGGTTGAATGGCTCCTCTACTCCTCTGCCCAGCAGAGGTGATCTGGTTAATAAACAACCAAACAAAATTAGAAAAAGCTATCAGTAAAAAAGAATGCTTGAGGTTACAGTTGCAAGATGTATTAGCAGTTCCCATGATACAACTCCTAAAAAACACCATATTTCTAAACTGTAGCAAAACAAGAAAGTTTTAGGGGACAGAGCTTTAACTCGGCATATAGCTGGGTTGTTCAGCTGCTGAAGTGAGTGTTAAGTGACATCAATTTGTGGATTTTTTTGCCAGTAGCAGTTCATAGATGCCAAGTACCTATAGAATTTTAAAAATATTACAATATACATAATGAACCAGAGACTTTTTTTGCTCTGTTTCTCATGCATGCAAAAGGGTCAAGTCCCCTAAAACAGCAAACACTACTCAAAGACAACCTTCTCCCTCACTAGTTTAGCAATAACAGGAACAAAAAATTCTCAGGAACTGGGAACAATCAGAAAAAAAAAAAAAAAAAAAAAGAAGATGGCAAAGATAAAGGAAACTTATACCAAGCTAGTAAAGCAAGCTTTAATTGGATTCACATAGCAACTGCTCTTTAATCCGTGCAATCGCATGAAAAGATGTCCATTTCAGCTCAAGCTTTTAAAAAAGTAGTACATTCAAGGCAATAAGTGATACAACCTATGACTTTTAAGGAGGCTGAAAGCACACCCTTGGAATATGCAGACAGAGATCTGCAAGCAGCAGCACAGCAAACTGTTGCAGCAATGAGCACAGCTACCTGCAGTGCTAATTCCTTTCATTCTGCAGTCGTGTAGCTGCACCCAAAGTACTGCATTGAGTTGGAGTGCCTGAGTACAAAAGATGCAGAGAAGATGGCTAAAGTAAGGCATACTGCAATCAGTACCTAGGTGGCTGCAGCATCTGGTTCAGGAGGAGCTGAAGGAACTGGGTTTGTTTCAATCTGAGTGCGTTGGCAGAAGGACCCAGTGGGGGAGGGCAAGGCACTGTCTAGAGGATTAGACAGAGAAGACAGGCAGGTCCCCATCAGTGGTGCACAGCAACAAGAGTCAACTGCAAGCAGTAAGAGAAGGTGGAAGCAGACCTAGAAGAAAGCACTGTCGCAGTGCAAGTGGTTATGCAGCAGAATAGCTGCACTGGAAGACCACAGGATTTCTGCTGTTAGCAGAGCTGGAAAGGCCCTGAACTCATACTGCTGGGAGCCTGACCTGCTCTGAGCAGAGCTGGAGGAGATGACTCCCAGAGGATCTCCCAGTCCTAGATTGCTTGTGGAATTCAACATGCTCAGGAATCCCTCTATATTCATTTGTTTGCCTGCAGCAGCGACAAAACATGCGGTACCACTTACTGTACAGTGCACAGATGTGTGAACGCAGACCTGCTTTCCAAAGATGCTTATTTTCCACAGCCTGTAATTAGCTGTTTTTTCTTCCCTCTCACTGAAGATTATCTAATTCTAATTGACACCAGAGATTAACCAGGCAGATGAGATTTAGCTGTCACCAACCAACGAACGGCACCGGGCAGGCTCCAGAAATGGACACGAGAAGCACAGGCTGGCTCTGCCTGACATGCAAGGCCGAGCGGCGACGGCGTGCCTCACCGTGTCGGAACGGCTGCCGCCCCGGGACGAGCAGCCGGGAGGAACGCATTTACAGCTCCGAATGCGGATAAACGCTGACACAAACACGGCAGCGGCGAGGCCCTGCCGCTCCACAGGAGAGCCTCCTCCCCACCACTGCAACCCCGGCAGCCCGACCCCAGCCGCTCCTGCCCGCGGTCCCACACGTACCTCACGGACAGGCTCATACTACCGCCACGGCCGGAGCGCGCCGCGCTGCCTTCTCCGTGGAAACGCCAACCGCGCCCTCCTCGCCGCATCGCAGCGTCTGATTGGCTAGCAGCCGGACCAAGAGGACCTGCTCCCACCCTCTTGACACGCTCATAGGCTACTTCTCTGCCATTCAAGCAGAAGGAAGATTTCCGTGACAGGCAGCAGAAGGGGCGGGGCTTGCTGAGGAGGCTGTCAGTCAGGTGCCGACGGCGCCATTTTGGGAGTGTACGTAGGCATGGTTTTTTCCGGCCCGCGCAGGGCGGCGCAGAAAGTGACGCCCTGTGCAGGCTGCGGGTTGGCTCCGGTAGGATGTGGCCTGTGCGTCTTGTGACTCACTTGAGGAACGTCGGCAGCGACATGGTTGTGCACGCTGATTGTATGGGAACGGTTTTATCCAGATTTTCTGGCTTCTGAAAGTCAGCTTTGCGTGGATCTTCTTAAAAAACACATCAAAGCCTACGTGTGAAGTATTCTGATACTTATTCTAAGAATTCAGTCATGGTCTGGTAGCAGCACGGAACATGATAAGTTTGCAGGGGAAGCAATCCGTCTTACAGCGCTCGTTGCCACTGGTATTTTCATGCTTTGGAAACCAGTGCATGAGGCAATGTTAACATTGTGCAGGTGGAACAAACAATGCATTTCACTGATAAGAAAACCTTGACTGAAAAAATACCACTTCAGTGTGCCATTGGTTTGTGACAATGGCAACAGTGCTCATAGCAGGGAGGTTGGTTGGAAATGGATGATCCTTGATGTGCCTTCCAAGCCAAGCCATTCTATGATTCCATGACGCTTCGTGTCCCTGCTGCCCTGTCACTTGTAGTGTCTGTGGGCAAACAGGGGCAGACAGATTTGTTTAGCATCTACTACCAAAGTGGAACTGTCCCATGCGAATAGCTCAACCATGTGGATGTTGTTCCCGTGTGCCGTATGATGAGTTGATGGGGAAGACCAGCCTGGTTGAACGGGGAGCTTCTGCTGAGACTCAGGGCATAAAAAAGAGTTTACCACATGTGAATAAAGGGGCAAGCCACTCAGGAAGAGTCCAAGGATGTTGGTATGCAAAGAGAAAGAAGAGCAAAAGCTCAACCAAGTGCCAGGTCACAATAACCCCAGACAACATTACAGGCTTGGGGCAGAGTGGCTGGAAGACTGTGGAGGAAAAGGATCTCAGGGTTTTGGTCATTGTTCAGCTGAAGAGTCTGGTGCATAAGTCTTATGAGGAGTAGCTGAGGGAACTTTGATTGTTAGACTGCGGGAGGCTCATGGGAGACCTTATCGCTCTCTACAACTCCATGAAAGGAGGTCATGGTGAGGTGGGGTTTGGCCTCTCTCCCATCTAACTAGTGATAGGACTAGAAGGAATGGTTGGACATTAGGAAAAATCTCTGAAAGAATGTTCAGGTGTGGGAGCAGGTCCAGGGAGGTGGAGGCATCACTGTCTCTGGAAGCATTCAATAACCGTTTAGATGTTGTACTAAGGGACATTTTGTAGTGGAGAAATATTGGTGGTAAGTGGATGGTAGGACTGGATAGTCTTTGAGGTCTTTTCCAACCTTGGTGATCCTGTGATTCTAAAAGCAGATCATCTGGCAGTGTTTTCAGATGGTGTTGGTAGGACTTCTTCATCTGCTGGAAGTTCCTGCTCCACCATAATGTATCCAGAAGGGGGCACACAGGTCTCTTTCTGCTCTTATGAGAAAACCTCTGTGTGCTCTGCTGCTAAATTTGATTATTCTAAGCTGATCAGTTTTGCAAGTGTAAGAAGTCAGTGTCTTTACAACCCTGGCCTTAAAACACACTGTTTATCACCTCAGTAAAGGTAGTTGCTTTTCTGAGGTTGCACGTGAAATGGAGATGTCAGAAATTAAAAACTGAAAAGAAAAAAAAGTAAGTATTTTATTTTAGTTATAGTAACTGTGACTGGTGAACCCTTAGATTTTCAAAGCTAGCAATATCCCTTCTGAAATGACTATCCACAAATAGATGAGACAAATTAAAATAACGCTGGTGGGTGCCTCACAACGGTGTATTGCTAACTTAGGAAGGAAAGTAATTGCTTATTTTGGGGATAACTTGAAAATTCTATAATTCATTCTATCTTTAGCTTTTAATTAATTCACAAACTCATCTACTGCTTTCTGAAAGCCATTTGTAGATCTGTCTGCCAGCCATACCTTCATTTTAAGTGAATGCTTATTTCTCTATTCCTAATTTCTTCAATATTTGAAATGCATCTGTTCCTGTCTCCCAAGCTGAATTTGAGGGTCCAGGAGATTAGAAATCTTGTATCTCCTGTTCAAAATCAGAATAGGTATCAGCATCTTCTGATGTAAACCATCTAGAACTGACGTGGAATACACAGTGGTTGCTAATGGCTTTTAAGACAAGTAGTTTTTACATTCACTCTGGATTCTGTTGAGCTTTAAATAGTTTAACAGAACTCTCATTAGCCCAGGTCATTCCATTTGGAGGAAAGTTATTTCTATTTCCCATCATCCCACTGAAAGGGAGATGGTCTGCACCATCTGTCAATGGTACCACATGAACTCATTGGCAAATACAGGTCCCAAGCCATGTATATCTCTTAATTACCTTGACAAACACACCAGCTGCAAATCTGCGTGTTGCAGATTCCCTTCCACTGCAACAGTGGAACAAGTCCAAGACCTCCTCATGAAAGTGAATGTATATAAGTCCATGAGGCCAGATGATATCCATCCTAGGGTATGATCCAGCCTAGAGATGGCTGATGTGGTTGCCAAGCTGCTCTCCAGAATATTTGAAAAATCATGGCTGGCTGCTGAAGTCTCTAGTGATTGTGAAAAGGGAAACATTACTCCAATTTTAAGAAAGGGAGAAAGGATGACCCAAGGAACTACCTCTGTGCCTGGGAACATCACGGAGCAGATCCTCCTAGAAGCTGTTAAGGCACGTACAAGATAAAAAGGTTATTTGAGACAGCCAGCATGGCTTCGCCAAGGGCAGCTCATGCCCACCCTATCTGGTAGCCTTCTATGATGGAGTGATGGCTTTGGTGGATGGGGTGGGGAGGGGCAATGGATGTCATCTTCTTGGACTTCTGCAAAGCCTTTGACATGGTCCCTCACCGCATCCTTCTCTCTAAATTGGGGAGGCATGGTTTTGAAAGATGGACTGTTCGGTGGATTAAGAACTGGTTGGCTGGATGCAACAGAAGGATTATGAGCAATGGTTCCTTATCAGGTCAGGGTGGAGGCCAATCACAAGCAGTATCCCCCAGTGGTCAGTGTTGGGACCGGTGCTCTTCCCCATCTTCATCAATGACACAGATCATGGCACTGAGTGCACCCTCAGCAAATTTGTGGATGACACCAAGCTGAGCAGTGCAGTTGATACACTGGAAGGAAGGGAAGACATCCAGAAGGACCTCGACATGCTGAAGAAGTGGGCCCATGTGAACCTAATGAGGTTCAGTAACTCAAAGTGCAAGCTGTAGCACTTGGGCTGGGGTAATCCCAGGTGTTTATATAGATTGGGCGAAGAAGCCCTTGAGCGCAGCCCTGTGAAGAAGGGTCCTGATAGACAAGAAGCTGGACATGAGCCAGCAGTGTGTGCTTGCAGCCTGGAAGGCTGCATTAAAAGGAGTGGCCTGTAGGGAGAGGGAGGTGGACTGTCCCCCTCTACTGAGCTCTTGTGAAGCCCCATCTGCACTACTGCATCTAGGCCTGGGACCCTCAGCACAAGAAAGGTACAGAGCTCTTGGAGTGGGTCCTTCCAGAGAAGAACCACTAAGATGATCAGAGGGCTGGAGCACCTCTTCTATGAAGAAAGGTTGAAAAAACTGGGCTTGTTTAGCTTGGAGAAGGCTCCAGGGAGACCTTACTGTGACCATTCAATACCTGAAGGGAGCATATAAACAGAAGGAACAACAGCTTTTTATGAGGGTGGATAGTGATAGGAGAAAGGGGAAATGTTTTAAACTAAGATAGAGAAAATTTAGGTTGGGTTGGATACTAGGAGGAAGTTTTTCACACAGAGGGTGGTGACGCACTGAACAGGTTGCCCGAGGAGGTTGTGGATGCCCCATTTCTGGAGGCATTCAATACCAGGCTGGATGTGGCACTGGGCAGCCTGGTCTGGTGGTTGGCAACTCTGCACAAAGCAAGGGGATTGAAACTCAATGATCACTGTGATCCTTTTCCACCAAGGCCATTCTGTGATTCTATGATGATACGTAAATGTTTGTAATGCAGTCTCTTACGAAGAAAAGTGAAAGTGAAAGTTAGTTTTCCACTAAGTATCTTAGTGGAAAAATATTTACCTTCAAAATGTGTAGAAATCATTGCTAGACTGCGTAGTATTATAACACTTTTATTATCTATGACAATTTTTTTGTCTTTGTAAAATGTAAACACCACAAAAGTCTTCAACAGATTACAGAGCACAACTTTCCATCTGATTTTTTTTTTTTTTGTAGATTTCTCAGTCTACTGAAAATTGAATTAACATACATTTAGATTTAATGGATAAAGCAACAGTTCTAAATGCCCAAGGTGTTGCAATATTAAAATTTAAAATGTATGTTTTAAATATTTAGTCCAAATAGCATTAAAGGGACACTGTCGAACTTTACGACAAAAAACTGAGCAATTCTTAACAAAAATAGTTTGAGTCAGTTCTTTATATTTAAGACACATCATTTACTTAGTAGTGAACTTCTACAATACAAAAATAATTTTAAGATCCCCCAAAACTATTTTTATCTGAATTATAGCAGCAGTTTACTAACACACCCCATTTTTGGGTTATGTTTATATAAAGCTCACTTCTGATCTAGGAAATTATTCCATAGTTTTGTCAAGGAAAAAATACAAACAAAAAAAAAACAACAAAAATGCAGGTAACTGCATTTGTTGCATATACTTAACTGGGCTTAAATATGGTTTAACATGGTGTTCTAACACTAACCTGAACAGTTAAGGATCTTGTAGCTAATACATAGCACAGATTTAAAAACAAATGAGTGAGGAATTCTCTCCTTTTCCATT